GTGTACTCTTGAAAAGGGTATTTATCTGGTTTCATAAGGGACTGTCTTCATTAGTCCAAGTGATGATGAGTTATCTCTTTCTTGCCAAAAACCAACTTAATTTGAGCATAATTTTGAGTAGTATTAATATATATAATAATATACAGTAAGATACTTATTTTTAACGCTCTTAGAATTTCATTTTATTCGGTGCAACCAAATGTGCAAGTTTGCTCAGTTAGTCTTTATATAATTATGTGCATCTCATAGGACTGAAAATTTGAAATAAATGAACCGGTCAAGCGAATAATTTAAAATCTTCGACATTTTAAAATCTTTTAAAGAAGATAAGTCAATTCGACGTATTGGTTTCTTTCAGTGGTATCAATGCGTTATCTTCCTAGACTTAAAGAAAAACTTTAAAGTTGAAAGCCGAATTTATATGATAGAATATGGCTCCCTGCTGAGGAACCAATATTGTTTTGTTTTTCGTAGTCGGAACAGGAGTCGAAACCGATGCTGATTACTAATTACAAGCATAGAAAATTTTTAAATTTTGACACTTATGTTTTTCATTGGGTGTTTGTGTAATCGTATCAATCTAAGATTCTCTGCAAATTGCAATCTCATCAACAGTTACAGATGATTCTCAAACGAACGAAACATTCAATGCCATAACTAGCTAATAGAAATTTGTACGGAGTAAACGAAAGAACCAGACTAATAAAATGCTTCACAGAATGTGTACCCTGCAGTGAAAAAGCAAATACGAGTATTTATAAATTATCTATTGATTATCATATTAAACTCATGAGATCGTTGGACTAAAGTTGCTTGGATAATTAAAGTAGCTATGTTATATAAAGAAAAGTTTGTATACAAACAAGTAGATTTTGGAGAAGAACTATTGTACAACTGTACTAACATTACTTAAAATTATTCACATATTTTACTATACATGGTTGGCGCAAAGGCATGTACATAGCTGCACCAACATATTAGATGTTTATGAAGATGGATGGAAGAATAAGGCAGCCTTATTATACTCGGACCACTGCAGTATATTTCAGCAAGGTATGACGTGATGCCAGAACGCGTTGTAATTAGCGTCAAGTGCTGGCATCCTAAAGATGACTACTACTCGGACTGCGAACAGCACTCGATTTACAGTAGATAAGTAGTAATATTATTGATATCATGCGATAATAAGTGGTGGAAGCAGAACCAACTGCCAAAGATATGAAATGCTATGTTTGGATATTTGAATTATGAGTTAATTTAAAGTTAAAGTTATATAGTTTAAAACATATACATTTTTGAATCTTCAGAGAGATAAAACTTGGTTACGAATATAATAACTTAGAGTGAAACTTGCGTATTTTTGCTTTCTTTCAAATAACTAAAAGTAAGACTTTGAATATTTATAATATATTCTATCAACTATGTTTACACAATTAAGACATATTCTATTACAACTTGCATTTCTCAGATGCAAATCTTATATACTCTAAACTAGTCATACTCAATGCTGCAGATCTAACCAAACCCAATAAAAACTAGCATAAACTCACTAATTACTAATTACAACAACTGCTCATTCCTTTAAATTCTTGCTATATAAAATTATAAATTCATTCCACTTTTATTTAATTTTCTTTCTTAAGCACGTTTACATCTTCAGCAAAATAGTTACTCTCACCGATTATCTGCTTTATTTCACTGATGAATTTTATAAAACTTGAACTTTTCAGAAGTTTTAGCGACAGCTACTAGAATTAAGTAAAGGCGCAGAGTGGAAAGGGATAGATGATAGTGATGCTAATGCTAAACAAATGGAGAGGAATGAACTGAAATTTCAAACTTGGAGAATAAGAGAAAAGAACAAGCAAAGTGTCAGTGAAGAGTTAGCAAGAAGAAGATTGGATTAAATAGCTCAGAAGGAGTATAGAATTCTTGATTTACCAGAAGTGAAAAAAATGGCATTAAAGGTGTATTAATTTCGGTGTTTGAGATGTTGAAGGAAGAATGAAAGTTTACTGAATTAATTTGATTCAAAATTTTAAAATATGAAATATTAATAAAACAAATACGAAAAATATTGTTTCAAAATCAGCAACTTTTTCTTATTGTTGAAATATTCCATTTTCGATACTTGTGTTTTCAACCACTCATCTTCTAAAAACACTGGCTGTCGTTTTCACAATTTTGCTCCTCCACCACTACTTAGCTACCATTTTGAAAAGTTTTGATACATTTCAGTATTTAACACCTTAGTCAATAGCGTGAGAAAGTGAGAAGAGAAAATCAAGCATGTAGTGCTTGGACAAACTTCTCGAGGTCCATTACCAAAAGAACATTCCACGGCTTCCGCAAATAGATTTGCACATCAACTCTGCTCTATCAGTCTGGCAACGGTGGCGTGGCTGCGGCATTTTGCGTACAGATTACTTGAGAAAGTTTACCAAAAGAAAACAAGCAACGAACTTGCCACTTCAGTTTGGTTCGTGAAAATTTCCTTCGTCCAAAGTAACTTGCCAAAGTTTCCTTGATTTCCTTCATTAAAAATATAGTTTTAAGTAGTATTGTGTGAGAGGTCAGGAAGGTGCTATACCGACTTTTGCTAAACTTGCTTTGGTGAATAAAACTTGTCGTAAATAATTGAAAATAAATTTTCATTTCTAGCCTTTAGTTTCATCATTTGGCAAATTTCAAAATGATAAATGTGCAATCCATTAACCATTTCTGTTATATTTTTGCTAAGAAATGTAAAAGTTGAAGATGTTTTTTAATTCAAAATTTATTTAGAAAAGTTTGTAAAAAATATTATTTCAATTTCTTGCCCGCAATTTGCTCACTAAAAGCTGGCGCTATTTTAAGAAAAATATGAATGAGTCTTGATGTTACCTAAAATGTACAGAATTTCTTAGAATTTTGGCGAAACTATATGTTAAATGATTACTAGTTTTGTTAATAGACGTTAAATTGTAAGTAATTTTAAACAACAAAAGACATTTTAAAGATTTTCTAAGCCGAATATACAAATTTTCTTCCACTTTATATTTAAAATCGTTATTGATTCCATATATGAAAGAACTTGAAACTAAAGTAAATTAGTTTGTGGTATGCTATTAAGTCAAAGTTACCTAATTTGAAATTGTTGCAAACAAGAAGGCAGAATAATCTACTTTCATCTGAACTTACATATTTTGGAAAATTAGTAAACCTTCATTTTATATCTTTAAACATATATTCTCTTTAGCTGATAACGGCCTAAACAGTTGTGATAGCTTTAAAACGCTTTGTCGACATATATATACAAATTTAAATACATCTAAAATGTTTTGAAACCAAAAATCGTTCTTTAACTTCAATGCGTCATATTCCAGAGACAGATATCAACACCTAAAAACCTAAAATTTAATAATGATATTTATTTTTCTATTTTTATGTTAAAGTTTAATTGTTTTAAATATATACCTAATTCAATGAAAGGATCGTCACTTAATATGTTGATCTTTAAATAAACAACTAACATGCAGAGTACTAGGTTCTCTAATGTCGCTGCTTGATTCAACTTAACTTCTATTGTAGTGGCTTGTCGGAAGCCTCACGGTTGTTCATTATTCACTTTACAAAAAGTAAAAAACTAAAAGTAACAAGAAAGTTTGCAAAAGGAATTCGATGCTTGACTCGCCACTGACTACTTTTTCGGTGTGCATCATTGGAAGGTTATGTGCATCATTGAAGCAGACTCACCGAGGGATCAATCATATGAGTATTACTCAGTTAGTCTGTCTATCGAAAACATCTGATATGCAGTAGACTTTAAGAGAGATAAAGGAGAGAAATAATGCTTTGGTTTGAGTTTCACTAAAGCTGGGGTAAGAAAGGTGGCATTAAAAGCAAACACGTAAGGAGAAGACGGGTGTAACCGATTATTTTACGCTCTAACAATTTTCAGAGATCAAAGCCGTGGCATATTTTTAGCTGTTGTTAAAAAATGTTACGAAAGAATTCATTATTCATCGATATTATGAATGGATCACAATCATATTTGTGATTTAACTAAAACTATACGTCATGTAATCACTTAGTCCCATATAGACAAAGTAACATAAGGATATCACAATACTGTTATCAAGTACCAAATTTAATTGATATTAGTTGAGTAGTTCATGACATATGAAATTTTAGCTAAAATGAAAAATACTCTTTTATGATTTTAATAGATCAGTTTATATGGTAGCTATATGCTATAGTAATCCGATCTTAACAATTTCTTCGGAGAAAGCATTATTGCCTTAGGACATTGTCAAATAAAAAGTTTGCCATACAAGCTCTGCATTTGGATCAATCAGGTTATATGGCAGCTATGTGCTTTAGTAGTTCAATATCGGTGATACCGATAAATGAGCAGCTTTTTGTAAAGAAAATTATGTTTTCAAAATTTCAGATTGATATCTCAAAAACTCAGGAAGTAGTTCGCGTATATACAGACAAACTGCTCGTCACGCTAAGCATTTATATACCATATACATAGTACATTATACATATATAGAGTCTTCGACGTTTCCTTCTAAATATTACAAACTGCATGGCAAACAGGGTTTATGTTCAGGGCAAACTTATAAAAAGCTTTAACGAAGTATAAATGACTAATATTTGCATATATGTATACTTATACTCATATACTTATAAAAATGTGTGTGTAGATATGCTCGCTGCAAATTGACTCAAAATTTCTAATATGCAAATTATGCAGAGCAAAATTTAATAAAATCACAACCGAAGTATGTGCACTCGCTCATGCCCCCACAGAAATCTGCATTCCGCGACATAAGCAGCAGGCGTCAGCCTAAAGCCGCGCATAAGTATGCACATTTATATTAGTCGTAAACCTCATAAAAGCCATCACGTATATGTTAGGCAATTTTAGGGCACACATACACTAGCAAAAATATACTGACACACACGCATACACATCGGTCTTTATAATATGCAATATTTAATTAACAGCTCACCTGGCTCTCGGTAATGCTGACGCCGCGTTTTTCGTATTTGCTGCTCTGCTTGCGTGACAACAAACCGCTCGTCATATTGGTGACAACAACACTACCGCTGCCACCACCTACACCTGCGCCACAACTGCTCAGATTACCCATGCCTACCACGCCTACAACAGTTGTATGCGTCAGCTCAGCGCCGGGCAACTGTTGCTCCGCGTGTGTCTGTTGCAAATGATTCGGATGATGACTAATGTTGTGTAGTGTCGTTGTTGTTTGTGCTGTATGATGATTATAGGACATATGATGATTATGTTGTTGCTGTAGTTGTTGGTGTTGATGATGATGTTGATGGTGATGATTGTGATGATGATGTTGTGAATGTTGATGATGATACATGCTGTTATGTAAGCTCATGCTTTCGTCTTGTTGTTGTTGCTGCTGCTGTTGTTGTTGTTGCTGCTGTTGATGCTGTGTGACTAAATGGTGCGAGAGACCGTGTGAGCTACGCCACAAAGCAACCGCAATTTTGCTATAGAGCACCTGTGGAGAGAACAATTTTCGTTATTGTTTTGATGCTGGGACAACTTAGTGAGATTGTCAAAATTTATGACAACGATTTAAGTGTGCCATCTATTGTCTAGCTCATATAAGTCAAATGTGGGCTAGACAAGGTCATTAAACAGATGCGCATTTAATAAAAATATATAAAATATGACTGCAAATATTAAAAAAGAGTTTGAGCATTGCTTAAAGCAACAATTTGGTGCTCTTTGACAGTTGTCAGCTTCGAAATTTAAAGGAGGTATGAAGTAGAATGTTAAAACTTTGAGGAGAATACTTTCAATCCTTGCTTTGAATCTTTCAGCTCTTTAACAGTAAGAGTGTTCTCTCAAAAATAAATGAAACAAAATTTAAGAATGTTGTGCACCCTGAATAGGTTGGTTAGGTTAGGTTAGGTAAGGCACAGATTGGTTAGGTTAGGATAAATTAGATAAAGTTAGATGAGTGATCCCTCAAAATGGCGAAGGATCACACTTAGACCATTGTGTACATTCCTTTGTGAAGTCATATAAAACTAAGAGCCTTGAACCTATCAAAAATCTGCTTAAGTACTTTATTTCTACTTTTTTTATTTCCACTGGACATCTAAAAGGGGAACTGTTGAGATGATTCCATTCCATCCTCTTTCAATTAGCTGATGCAACTGATGCCGATCGCGCAGTGTCCAGTTGGAACTCCTTTAAATGGTGTAAAGTGAACTTTGCTGAGCGCGAAGACCTCGACATATCTCTTTTTATTTACTCTAAGCCAAAAGGACCTTGCAATCGTACACTTGTTAGTATCTCACCATCGCTTGCCGAGCTCTTGAGGTCCAAGATATTTAGCAGTGAACCGCAAGTAGCCTGTATAGCTCTTACCCGTTCCTATTCTAAAGCTGGTGAGACAGAAGTACCCGACCTAGCAAGAGCTTATGAGCTGGCTGCATCATGATGAAGTAACGCGATGCCAGAGATAAGAATTCGAGACATCCCTTAACTAGTTTCGAGTGTCTGGTTAACGAACTCAATGCTAGTATCACCGCCCTATTATTAGAGTGGACAGTCATCACTCCAAAAGGGCTTCCCAGTATAGATAACGGGTGGTCAATATATAAATTGTATTTGCATGTTAAAAGTTGGAATATATTTCAAACTAAAACTTCCATTTTACACCCGAAAAATGCAATGCAAAATTTTGTATACAAAATTCGATATTTGCCTCGACAACCATCATAGGGATGTTAATTAATTAACCGAAAGATACGTTTAGCATCCTTAAGTACTTTTTTGAGGCGTAACGTGAAGAACCAAGGTTGTAAGAACAATCATTTAACTTTTTCGGGTCGGAAAACAAATTTTGAATAAATATTTGTAAAAAAACACCCGATACAGTGACACCAGCAGGAGAAGTAACAGGAATTATGACATGCTCCTGAACAAACGGGAATATTTTCTAAACCTAAGCAATTTTGAAATAGAAACGAATGTTTGTAATCACTTATGATCCGATATATAGGAGATCTTAGGTACCACAACGGACAGACGGTCTAAACTGTTCAATTGAGATTCCTGTTAGGATCGATCTTTTAACCTAACCTTACCTAACCACCCTGTGTTATTTTCTAAACAAATAATATTTTCTATGCACTAACCGTCATCACCAGCAACGGTATTACGTAGAGCAATCCAAAATTGATCATGTCCAGCAATTTCGAATTAAACATCTTGCGATCCAACACACAAATCTCCTCCTCTTGCCCATCCTCAGTGTGTATATTCTTAATAGTTTTGCTAAACACGAATTTGGGCGTTGAGTAGACGGCTGAGGTAACCCAGACGGTTAAGATGGCCAGCTGAAAAGAGAAATTAAAAAAAAGTTAGAGTTTTAAAATTTTTTTTAGAAACGCATATTTGGAAAGTAAACTTAACAAATTTTCGAAAAAGTAATACAATTTTAAAATATTATTAAATTTTGGAAAAAATAACAAACTTCGAAAAAAATATTAATAAATGAATAATTAATAAATTAATTAATTATAATAAATTTTTGCAAAAATAATAAATTTCGGAAAAAATTTTAAATTCTGGAAAAAAAAAAATTTGTGCCATCGTTGCAAGCTGGATCTATATAAAATATATTCTCAATAATGCACTTGTGGCATATTGTGAAGGTCGATTATCAAGCAAATTAATACGTACATATATTCATGTATATTCCCAAATATGTATTAATCAATTGTCTCTTATGCTCAAGAGATTCAAATAATTGATCAATATCTTAACTGTTACTTTTATGTCCCATCCAAAAGTCATTGGCATTAATTCTGTCTGGTCATTTAAGCATTTATTTCCAACTACTACTTTCATACCTGGCAACACTCCTTTCTACCAAACTTAGCTTCTCAATTAAATATGTCTACTTAGCGTCTACCTCTGCCACTCATTTAAGCAACTTTTAATGAAGAAATAATGAAGTGAAGCGAAACTTGCCCAAAAGGCAAAATAAGAAATTGAAAGCAATTGCACAAGGTCAATTCTTCAATTAGGCACAGACATTCCCAGCAGCTATTAACAAGCAAAAGCAAATGCTTAAATTAATGAGACAAAAATCAGGCGGATAACGAAAACAAAATGAAATCATGGAAATTGGAAGCAGTTAGTTAATTTTTTAATAAATATATATTTACACAAAAAACGTTAATAATAGAAATGAAGAAAGTGGTTTGGCTGAATACAGAAACAAAAAATATTCAATTATAATCATAAAGGTAAAATCACTTCTTCAAAATCAAAGGCATCTCTTGACATTACAGTATTCCATAGCGGAATCTTGGGTAACTGTAAAGCTGAAAGGAAGTTTACCTTAGGCGCGCTATCAGTAGAATTGGAACGGGTCGGTGCTCCGCTATCCTTGTGTATTCTACTACTGGATAGCTGGGCTTCGCGGGTTCTATTAGTATGGCTTCACGAAGGAGTGTATATAGTATACCAAGATCAATCTACGATCTCTGGATCAGTATCAAAACTAAGCTAATATCCAACTGTTCATTGAGAAGAATAAATATTGCTAAAATAAATTAATTACTACCGTCGCGACTTCTCATCAATGAACTTATGAGAGTACCGCATACATTGCAAACTACAACTCGCACATACTGTGCATAGGTTACTCATACGCCATGTATGTCAAGCTAAGCGACTTTAAACTGTAATTACTATGCAAGAATATACAAATATTCAAATGCCTGTCAGCATACATACGCGCGTATGCATACACACGTAAACAACTGAAAACATATGTAAATATTATACCCACAAGCATAATCGCATACATATACATATATAATATATATAATATATGGTATGTATACTATATACTTATTTATGTACATAAGAATATTAATTGCTGTTCTTTTCAACACTTGCTAAAGTCTGCATATTTTCTCAATTTAATAAATTGCGTGCTAGTAATTATTAGAATCCAACTAGGTACTTCCTTCCTTATGCAGTTTTGCTAATGAAATGTGCACGATTATATATTTTGCTGCCACACGCAAGTGCAGTTTGGTTAGGTATTTGCTTGATTGACTATTATCTTAATTACTCGGACGCGTGTATTGTGCAATAAGAATTTACTAATTGCTCAAATTGCCAACGCAAAAAAGTGATTTATTACCAGTACACAGGCATTTGACTCTATTTAACGAGATTGATGAAATAGATATAAGAAACTGAGTTTTTCATTTTGGTTTAAAAATTAAATATTATGAGGTGGTAAATTAGGAATTAGAGTTAATACAAAACTAATATCACTTATTAGAAAAAGCGGAAGTTCGAAATTTTTATATTAGGTATAGGAGGGCTAGGTATAGCATTCACCCAATTTTATCCATTTTTGACGTAACAATATATATTATTACTAAAAAAAATGTTCTTTGAGTTTCATAAGGATACCTCAGCTTGACCAAAATATACGATATAAAGTCAACCAAAAGTTGGCTAATCCTAATGTTAATTACATGACCCGATATTATCTAGTTATAAGATCAAATTATTATCAGAAAATACTAACTTCGAATTTCTTTAAAATATTTTACTTATTGAATGATATATAAAAGTCAGCCAAAAGTTTTGGACTAGGAGAAACATTGTGATCCGAAAAATATTCCTTCTGAAATCCAATAATATATCTTACATATTTTCAGTGAAAAGTCAGTTATAAATACTGGGATTTTCATGTTCGGTCTCTGGAGCCTCGAAAAACTGTTATCCGATTGTGATAATTTTTGGACATAAGATGGCATACCCTAAAGGTTTCTTTTGTTTAAACCTTTATTCTGATGTCTGCCTAGGTGTTTTATTATACGCTAAAGCGAAAGAGTCCGAGAGAATATAAAATATAGATATATTTGAATAAAGGTCAAAGTTCAAAATAATGTTACGAACCAAATTTGGTTTAAAAGGGTCAAACACTGAGATATTGAATTTCAGCGTGGTGCTGGCCACGGCCATTGTTCAAATTTCACTCTGTTTCCTATACATGCCTTTCCTACCAACCTTACTTTATAATTTAATACTTCTGATATGTTACTTCAACGGTGATACAAACAACCGTTAGTTGAGCAAAACCATTATACTCTGTAGCAACATATTGCAATAGTATAAATATAATTTTTTTTTGAATAAGTATAATATAAAATCAAACGGTATATAAACAAATTAAAAAAAAATATTAGTCAAAATATACAAAAAAAAAAAAAATATATAATCCAAACTTACTATTATTTATTAAAGAAATTTTAGTTGGTTTGGTTTTCTTTTTTGTTTTTTTTTCTGTTGTTACCTAATCTTTCTCATTAATTAAAATATTTACAAATAAAAATTAATATTAATTTTTTTTTTAAGTCTCGACCAGCAGTATTCACCACTATTGAACACAATGAACTCCATATAATATAATAATATACAAAAACTACTGATAATATCTTCAAAATAATCCATTTCAAACCTTTCTATCAGCTAAATCTTTAAAGGGTTATCACTTTTCTACTTCATACACTTCAACACACTTACACAAGCACTCAACAAACATATTTCAGACATTCTTTTTCATTCACTTTTAACTTGCGGACACCTTTTTAATCTTCACGCATCATTTATCAACAAATTTACCATATTATTTGGCCTTCACAGGCGTCTATGTGTTGATTAATATGACCGTCTGCTGTCTGACGATGGCAAAAAACAGCAAAAGAAACAGTTAACTCAATGACAATCAGTCATCCAACGCTTGTCTGGTCCAGTCAGTCGATCCAATTACAACGCATGAATTGAAATGTACTACTTTGCTACTTTTTACAATATATATGAAACCTTAAATGTGATTCGCTGATAATTTAAAGGGAGGTTTCAGTTCTTTGTGAGTTTATGCCTAATTTAATCTCAGGCGCTGTTGAAAAACGTTGAATTTGGAGCACAAAGCGCAAAGCAAGAATGAGACAATAAATGGGAAACCCTTTTTGACAACCTGGTGTATAAATTTATTTAGTAATTACCAATTACTATTTTATTCTTTTAGGTAATTTTTTAACTTATTGTTAAAGCAAAATATGTATTATTTCATCGAAAATTTGCTTCTATTTTTATGGCTTGCCTTACAAAGTGTGAGGTTACCATATGTAGTGGATTTAATGTTTGAGTATAAGAAATGTTATGAGTAACCCTTATAATTTTTTTCTTATACAAGGTACAATTCAAAAGTCCAGGACTTTTTAAACAACGCGGCTTCTAGTGGCGCCACCTGTCTGAAATTGTGATCCCTCAATTGTGTATTCTTCAGTGTTGTCGTATAAAATTTATATAACAGCTGACTTGTATAACAGCTGAGATATCGCGCTACATGTGACATTACATTTGTAGTGTCGGTCGGAAAATAAGCATCGAACAAAGAGCCAACATTAAGTTTTGTTTTAAACTTGGTAAAACTTTTACCAAAACTCATCAAATGATGAAACAAGTTTATGGCGATGATTGTCTATCCCGTAGCCGTTATCACGAGTGGTTTAAACGTTTTCAAGAGGGACGGGAGGACTTGAAAGACGACGAACGACCTAAAAAAGTCATTCGATAACCTTCTTGAACGTGCAAAACGTTGTATTCAGGCGGAAGGAGCCTATTTTGAAGGCGACTAATAAATTTTTCAAAGAAAACATCAATAATATTCGATTTTTAATAAAAGTACTGAAACTTTTGAATTGCTCCTTGTATTCTGAAAGTATAATCTTGGGATAAAGAACTTTAAGTTCCAATCCCTTATGATTTATAAATTTCTTCTGCTAGTTATGGATCAAGAAACGCTCAGGTATTGATGAAGCGCTTGGATGCAATCAGAAATTTGTTGAGATGACAAATTTTGATTCCAACCAATTCACCCCACTCACCGAAAGTATGACTCCAAAGAGATCTCAAACTCAGTCTAGCGAAAGTCGATGATAAAATGTCGACATGTTTCAACATCGAAAGTGATTATAGATGAGAATTATAACGATTATTTATGAAGAAGCAGGTATTCCGATGGAGGTCAATTATTGATTTTATCAAACAAATCTAACTTTTAGTGCCACTATCGTTTAGTACACTCCTGTAGATGGCACTACTGTAATTTCGGCCGAATCGGACTCGTAGTTTTGGTTTGATCGCGTATGGAAACGGAACCGTCCATAGATTTCAGAAAAATTAAAATCATCTACACATCAGATGGAACTGTGACTCAGATCCAAATGTGTCCAGTGTTTTTACGTAATTTAAGTGCAATCCAAAGGTACTTCCGTCGACGAAATGTGGACAAATACCA